TGGGTGGCTCAGTGGGTTGAACCTCTGCCTTCAGCTCGGGTCATGATCTCGGGGTCCGTCGGGCTCTCTGCTCAGCTCTGCTTCCCCCTCCCCTCTCTCTGCCTGCATCTCTGCCTGCTTGTGATCTCTGTCTGTCAAATAAATAAAAAATAAATAAAGAAAAATAAAAATAAAAATAGGAATTCTTAAAGTACTGATTTTTGCTACTATATTTAATTTTTTCATTTTCTGATAGCTATAAATACACTTCTAATCCATATGAAATATCTTTTAAGGAGTTTCAGGATATGTTCTGAGCAAAATTAAGTTAACTGGGGAAGTTCAACATTCACGTTTCTTTACCTCAAGAGCAAATTTCCCTATAGTTAAATCATAACCAAAGACATTTATTTTGTTCCATCCTCCCTTGGTACTAGTCCAAAGAACTTGGAAATAAATGCAAATCATCTTCATATGGACATAGTATTTAACAAACTGATGAAATTCTCACATTAATTAAGGCCCTTTTGATTTCAGACTTTCTTGAAGATTTTACTTCTCTTTAACAGTAATAGAGTTGCAAATGTGTTTGACATGGTCAAAAAACCCGAGGACAATCCACCCCATTTTGTAACTGGAGCTCCTTTTTATATTGAATTCACTCTTCTAGATTGCCAGGGAGAGTGAATTAGAGCAAATTTTAACTATTTAATACCCTTATCCAGGAAAGAAGCAATCAGATCAAAGTTATTTCTAGGTTTACCAAAGAGAAACTTTATGGATCAGACCACATAAATTTTTAGAGGAAGTTCTCTTCTTTCATTAGAAAACCTACGAGAAAAAAAAAAAAAAGAAAAGAAAACCTAAGAGAGAGTAAATCAAAAGTACACATAAATTACTATCTGGTTTCTAGATATAATTTGAGATACAGTTTGGATTTCAGATAATGAAGTTTAGGATCCAAGCATTAAATGTTTAAAGAATGAAAAGCAAGAACAGTAAATATTTAAACCCCACACATAACAAAGAATATACATATTTTGAAGATATAAATGATAACAATTTAGTGCTGAGAGTTCTCAAAACAGCATCAAGAATCACAGTGTGCCCAATATAGCTTAATGAGATGAACCTTAACAAGAAAAAAATAAAAGGAACAATTTGCTAAGAGAAGAGAACTGACATTGAATACACATGTTTAGTAAAAACTTACAGTGAACAGTAAGATTATTATTAAAAAGAAAAGATTAGAAAAAGAAAAGAGAAAAGGAAAGGAGAGAGGAAGAGAAGAAGGGATAGAGAGAGCAAAGAAAAAAGGAAAGAGGGAAGAAGAAAGTGGGGGAAGGAGGGAGAAAGGGAAGAAGAAAGGCAGAAAGGCAGGCCAGCTGGCTGGCTAATGTCTGTTCAGAAGAGAATTAAGACAGCCAAATTTGTAGCAGAAATATATGAAAGAGAAAAATGAATCCTTCATATTATAAAAAAGAAAAACAGATAGGTTTCTTGCCTATCTACTGAAATAACTTATAATCATTGTTAGTGGATTTTGTTCTACTAACCATGTTTTTTCTATCATTTGATGGTAATAATTTTCTAATCTGCAATTACAAATGACCCAGGAAATCACTAACAGAAGTACATTTTCTATTGTGTCCTGATTTGGCTAAGTGGAGATGAATTGTTCATTATGAAATAATATATTTCAGGTACAAAATGCTGCTCCACTTGTGGACTAACTAAACAAGAGCCTCCATAAAACATACAAAATAAAAGGATATAAAACAGGCTTAATTTGCAGTATGAAGGTTTAGATTTTATGTTGAGGGTAGGAGAAAAGCCTGTGTTCAGAACAAAATAAGAAGCTACAGAACCCTGTAATATTACTGCTAGCTCTATGATTCCATGAACTTTAGCCTAGAAATCATTATGTTTTTGGAAACAATCTATAGCTGATGACTACAACAACAATAGCAACAAACATGGAAATGATGTGTTTCTGTGCTGACTGCTAAGGGTTGCTTGGGAATAATACAAAATAATCAATTGTTTATTACCTTGCTAAGTGAGAATAGCAACAGCAAAGGAAAGAAAAAAAATTCTTCTCTGGCTCTGAGATATACGCTATGGACATTTTTTTCCTTCAAATATTTTTTCTTAAGCCAATATTAAAATTAACATTCTGTGAGAACACACTAGTTGATAATGAGAGGCAGCCCAGAAATAGATAATAGAACAGAAAAAAGCCAGCAAGAGTTTAGGAAACTGATGTGCACACAGCCACAAAAGGAAGATAATGTAGAATAATAATGTAAAATAATAATGTAAAAGCATGCACTTAGAACTACAACACTTAAACTCTAAACACAGCCCCACCTTAATATCTAAGTGACCACTATGTCATTTATCCAGAATGGGCTTATTTTCCATCTATAAAATGAGGGAAGGGAGGGGGCAGGATTGAATAAACTATCTTACTTTAAATTACCCATGGATTTTATATATATATATATATACACATATATGTATATATATATATATGAGAGAGAGAGAGAGAACAAGAGAGGGGAGAGAGGGAGAGAAGCAGACTCCCTACTGAGTAGGGAGCCCAATATGGGACTCGGTCCTGGGACTCCAGGATCATGACCTGAACCAAAGGCAGTTGCTCAACTGACTGAGCCACCCAGGGGCCCTAAAGTAAAGAGATATTACACTCTAAATGAAAATTCAAATTTCAGAATTGTAGCATCATAGTACATAACGGAACCACAAATACTAAAACAGTGTATCATAAAATATTATAATTGAAAGGAACAATGGAAAATATCCAGCCGATGTATTCATTATACTGAACTGAGCCCTAGATGGGTTAATTAAATGGCTCAAGATATATAACTAGCAGAGATGGGAAGATGGGATTAGAATTCTCCTGCTTTTTTCCAATGCCTACAGAATGACACTGGGTAAAATCTTTCCAGAAAGTGTTAAAAAGATGGAATCTTCATATAAAAGCAAAGCAGAGATATATAATTCTCAGAGAATATCTGCAATTAAAGAGATCTTGAAAGATATCTAAGATATCTAGTCAAATCCCCCTCTCTTTATGATCTTAATGATTGCTAATCAACTTGCTTAAATTATCTTTACTTTGTATAATGCTAATAGAAATGAAGAATTATGCAGTGGGGCATAGGGAAACATATCTCAATAGTTAGAATTTGACAGGCCATCATGTATACAACATTTACTAAACACTGAAAACCACAGATGGATATGAATGCTAATCCATTTTGGGACATTATTTTGAGAAGTGCTTATAATGACAAGCTAAGATAGAACAAGGAGAGTAGTAAAGCTCTGAGCTCAGGCTCAATCTTCTGTCCATTAGATCTGATAGTACATCTTTCCAATTTTCCCAACTGGAATTCCCCTAATACACAATTACGATGACCAAAGAAGCCATCAGCATTGTATTTATTGGGCTGATTTAATCTGCCTTCATTCCTGATAACCCAGGGACAAGGAAGAGTAAATAGTAATTCCTTTAAAATATTCAGATGGTATCTGTACACATTTTGCACTCTACAGAAGTACAGCAATATATTTTGAAAAAGACCCAGCAAAATAAAAGATTCCAAGTTAGATGTATAAGATAATATAATATAGAATAGGGAGTGGATAAGAAGAAATGTTGTTTGGGAATTCTAATACTAAGAATCCAAATGATAAAACATTATGTTTATGATTATATGTATAATTATATATGGGTAGATAGTTATAGATATATCTCCATATCCAAACAGAATGATAATGTTAAGTTTATGCAGTAAGTTTAAAAATAAAAAATGTCATAGTGATAAATGGCAAAAAGGGCGTTTCTTTTGTGAGAACTTTAAGGCCATAAAATGTAATCAAGTGTGACCTGATCTTGTGTCTCAATTCACAAAATAAAGGAATAGTTAGGTGGGAAAACAAAAGGTAACTAGCACTTTTTTTGTGTGCCTAACATTTTTAAGGCAGTAATTACCACATCTAAAAAAAACTCTAGTAAAATGGGGGTGCATGGGTGGGTGGCTCAGTCAGTTAAGCATCCAACTTTTGGTTTTGGCTCAGATCATGATCTCATGGGTCATGGGACTGAGCCCTAAGTCAGGGTCTGCGCTCAGTGAGAAGTCTGCTTGAAGATTCTCTTCCTTCCCTTGGCATGTGCATGCACACACACACTCACTCTCTCTCTTCTTAAAATAAATAAATCTTTAAAAAACTGAAGTAAAAGTAAAATGAAATGTTCCAAGTCTGGGAAGACTAATAATTTGGATCTTTAGAGCACAGGAAAAACAGAAAGGAAAAGGAGACATGAAAAGAGTCCCTTTCCTTCTGATGGGGGAGGACAGAACATCTGAATCATTCAGACTCCTCATATTTTGTCAGTAAACCATGAGGTAACCCAGGTAAAACACCAGAAAAGAAACGATGGCTATGTTTACACATTCTTTCACTGTCCATACTGTAGGCTATCACACTATTGAAACATAATTCCATAGGTTAAAGAAATTTAAAACCAGAAAGACTATCTTGAATGACAAAGGAAAACCATGTTACCTAAATTTGAAGGATTTTGAAGTGGCTCATATTCAAAGTAAGAACCTATTAAGATTTTACTTTTGGTGAATACTCCCCATGTTAGATAAAAATACCCAAAAAAGGTAGGGTGGTATTACTAATTGGTTCTATCTCATTACCCCCTGAAAGCTACACATAACTAACACATCCTATCACTTCTTTCATTCTCCTTGCATGTTATTTGACTATTTTAGAATAATTCTCTTGGCTTATACTCTGCACATAACAATCCACAGCAACATTCCTACCAAGTTTAAATTGCTAGTGTTGCCACCTAGTGCCTCTCCAAATTCACCTAGGCCCAGGAGACTCCTGGAAGCATGAGAGAGTTATCATCAACATAATTAACTTCATCACATGTAACTAAATACATCAGGTTTCCAGTCCAAATAGGTAGCACTTACTTATGTCCATTTAAGGCTGCATGGTGTAAAGCAGTGTAACCCGAACTGTCTGTGCAGTTCACATTGGGGCCTCGCCAAATGCTGCAAATAAAGCACAAGCGCAGAGTTAACAGTTAAGCAGAATCATGCTTTGAAAAACAAAAAGAAGCCTCATAGTCCCAAAGCCAGCAGCATGTTGCATAAGAAAATTCTAGTCATGTAGAAAATGAGTGCCATCTTTAATGCATTCTCCTTGGAACAATAACTTCATCTATTTGAGGTAAGGAAATTATTAGGGAATATAACCACCTTCAGAAATTATTAGTGAATGTAGGATTACTGTCATGTATTAAAAACCTGAAACCAAAAATTCCCTATTACTTTAAATAAATACTTAAATATTGGAAGAAATTAACACTCAGCTACTATATTCTATACCAAAGAATAAAGATTTATGACACCTCCTCCATTTTAACACAATCCTTCTGAGATGTCAGAGAGTTATATAAGTTAAAAGATATTTCTGCATTATGGGAAGAATACAAACTCTTTTTGTGCTTCAAATACTACCAAGAAAATCCGTATTTCATACTTGAAACTATAATTGAAGATCTGGACTGTTGTAAACCACAAGAAGATTATAATAGTTTTGAAAATATCATTTTACAACATATTTTGAAGACAACATAACTACACAAAATAGTCTATTTTATCCTTGATCACTACTATCACAGAAACTATTTTTAGCTTTTGAAAACATAAGGCACTAAAAGCCAGTTTTCAAAAACTAGATCAAAAAATCATTTTATCTGGCACTCTTGATAATATTAAACTCATAAAAACTAAGGTCTAGAGATCTCCAGGGAAGATAGTAGAAGAGGACCCTAAATTCACCTCCTCTCACAGATACTAGGTAACACTCACATCAGTGCAAATAATCTAGAAAACAATCCAAAGATTGGCAGAACAAACTCCACACCTAAATGTCAAGGAGAGACAACATCGAAGAGATTAGGAAGGGCAGAGATGCAGTGGGGAGCTAAAAAACTCCCTGGGTCTGGCTGCCAGAAGAAGGGAGCCATAGGCACATAGAGGGATGAAAAACAGACCATCATACTGGGAAGCCTACACAAAGAATCCCCTCAGCATCTAGCTTTGAAAATCAAAGGAACCACATTTTGTGAGTTCTTACAACCAACAGGACTTGAAGCCTAGAACTTTAAAATCAGAAGCTGGGCTCTGGGAGAGCCCAAAGGGTGAAAGGAAACTGAGTTTCTGCCCTTAAAGAAACAGCACAGCAAACAGTCCTCAGAGATAGACAGAAGCAGCAGTTCCATGGGGTGCATGGAAGGGGAGTTAATTAGTAATCTCAGAATTCCTGAGGGACTTTTCCAAGAACGAAAGAGGCAGGTGCCATTTCATTCCCATGTTCCCCCAGAATAATCACACAGTCACCTGTGGGAACCAGCAGAGTGCAGGCACTCACTGTTTAACATGCTTACACCACATCCTGTCCCCTCCAATTACACCTGCCTCAGTCCAAGGACAGCAGTTTCCCTCCACCAGAAGATCAGTACAAATCTTACCAACGATGTGTTTCCTGACCTCCCATGGAGGATACTGGTATTGTTAAAACTGCAACCCCCACCTGCACACACTATAGCTCTGCTATGGTTACACATCCCCTGTGGAGAAGGACAGGTGCCACTTTATTAAAAGTACATGCCCTGCCTACTATTTTCAAGAGCAATAGACTATCTGATTTTCCTAACACACAGAAACAGACAGAAAGTTAGGTTAAATGAGGAGGAAAAAGGAATATGTCCAAAATGAAGAAAGACAAAATCATAGCAAGAGACATAAGCAAAATGTATATAATATCCTGAAAAAGAAAATTTAAAGTAATGATCATAAATATAATCACTGGACTTGAGAAGAGTAAAGGACATTAGTGAGACCTTCAACACAGAGCTAAAACAAATCAATCAGAGATGGAGAAAACAATAATTGAAATTGAAAATACACTCAGTAGAATAAATAGCAGGCTAGAGGATGCAGAGGAATGAATTAGCAACCTGAAAGACAAATTAATGGAAAGTAATCAAGCTGAGTGGGGGGGGGGCTATGCAAAATGAGAGTAGACTTACGGAACTAAGGGACCCCCATAAGCTTAATAACATTTGCATTATAGGGATTCCAGGAAAGAGAAAGAAATCAGAAAGTGTATCTAAAGAAATAATAGCTGGAAAATTCCCTGATCTGGGCAAAGCAACAGATAATCAGATCCAGGAGGCACAGAACTCCCCAACAAAATCAACCCAAAGGGGTCCACACCAAGACACATAATAATTAAAAGGGCAAAAATCAGTTATAAAGAAAAATTTTTAAAAGCAGTAAGAGAAAAGAAGACAGTTACATACAAGGGAAACCCCATAAGGCTATCAGATTTTTGAGGCCAGAAGGGAGTAACATAATATATTCAAAGTGCTCAAAGGGAAAAATCTGCAGTCAAGAATACTTTATCTAGCAAGACTATCATTCAGAACAGAAGGAGAGATAGAGAGTTTCTCAGACAAAAAAAAAAAAAAAGAATGGCAATAAAATATATCAATAATTACATTGAATGCAAATGGACTAACTGCTCCAAAGACATATAGTGACAGAGTGGATTAAAAAATAAGATCAATCTATTCGCTGCTTTACAAGAGACTCATTTTAAACCTAAAGATATGCATATTGAAAGTGATGGGACAGAGAAATGTTTATCATGCAAATGGATGCCAAAAGTTGGGGTACCAATACTTATATCTGGCAAAACAGACATTAAAACAAAGACTGGGGCACCTGGGTGGCTCAGTTGGTTAAGTCACTGCCTTTGGCTCAGGTCATGATCCCAGAGTCCCAGGATCAAGTCCCACATCAAGCTCCCAGCTCCACTAGGAGCCTGCTTCTCCCTCTGACCTTCTCCCCTCTCATGCTCCCTCCCTCCCCCTCTCTCAAATGGATAAATAAATTCTTTAAAAAAAAAAAAAAGAACAAAGACTGAATGAGAGAAAAAGACAGCATAAAATCATAAAGGGGACAATCCAACAAGAAGGTATAAAAATTTTAAGTATTCATGCACCCAATGTGGTAGCAACCAAATACATAAAACAATTAATAAGCAACACAAAGGAACTAATTGATAGTAATACAATAACAGTAGGGGACATTAACATTCCATTTATGCCCATGGACAGATCATCCAAACAGAATATTAACAAGGAAATCATGTCTTTGAATGACACACTGGACCAGAAGGATTTAACAAATATACACAAAATACTCAATTCTAAAATAGCAGAATACACATTCTTTTCAAGTGCACATGAAACACCTTCTAGAATAGATATACAGTAGGCTACAAAACAAGTCACAATAAATACAAAAAGATCAAAGTCTCACCATGCATCTTTTCTTCTTTTTTTTTTATGATTTTATTTATCCATTTTTCAGAGAGAGAGAGAGAACAAGCAGGGGGAGCAGCAGATAGAGGGAGAAGCAGGCTCCCCACTGAGCAAGAATCCCAATGTGGAACTGGATCCCAGGACCCTGGGATCATGGCTTGAGACAAAAGCAGACACCCAACCAACTGAGCTACCCAGGTGTCCCACCATGCATCTTTTCTGAGGACAACACTAGGAAACTAAAAATCAACCTCAAGAAAAAAAATCTGGAAAGAGAACAAATATATGGACATTTAATAACATGCTATTAAACAATGAATGAGGGGCGCCTGGGTGGCTCAGTGGGTTAAGCCGCTGCCTTCGGCTCAGGTCATGATCTCAGGGTCCTGGGATCGAGCCCCGCATCGGGCTCTCTGCTCAGCAGGGAGCCTGCTTCCTCCTCTCTCTCTCTACCTGCCTCTCTGCCTGCTTGTGATCTCTCTCTCTGTCAAATAAATAAATAAAATCTTTTAAAAAAATAAATAAATAAATAAACAATGAATGAATCAAACAAGAAAAAAATACTACATGGAGAAAAACTGAAAATGAAAACACAATTATACAAAATCTCTAGGACGCAGGAAAAATGGCTCAAAGAGGGAAATTTATAGCAATACAGGCTTAACTCAAAAAAACAAGAAAATTCTCAAATAAACAACCTAACCTTATACTTAAAGCAGCTAGAAAAAGAAGATCTAACAAAACCTAAAACCAGAGGAAGGAAAGAAATAAGGAGTAGAGCAGAAATGTATGATACAGAAACTAAAAGAAGCAATGGAAAGATCAAAGAAACCAGGAGATGGTTCTTTGGAAAGATTAAAAAATTGATAAACCTTTTTTGAGATTCATCAAAAAAAAAAAGCTCAAATAAACAAAATCACAAATGAAAGAAAAGAAATAACAGACACCATGGAAGTACAAAAGACTATAAGAGAATATTATGGAAAATGATATACCAAAAAATTGGACAAACTAGAAAAAATGGGTAAATTTCTGGAAACATATAATTCACCAAAACTGAAGCAGGAAGAAATAGAAATTTTGAACAGATTGATTACCAACAATAAAATTAAATTGGTAATCCAAAACTCCCAACAAACAAAGTTCAGGACCAGACAGCTTCACAGGCTATTTCTACCGAACAGTGAAAGGAGAATTAATACCTGTTCTTCTCAAACTATCCCAAAACTTAGGAGGAAGGAAAGCTTCCAAATTCATTCTACGGGGCCATTATTACCCTGATACCAAAATCAGATGAAGACATTACAAAAAAAGAGGATTATATGCCAGTAACTTTGATGAACATTGATGCAAAAATTCTCAACAAAATATTGCAAGCTGAATCTAATAATCCAGTAAAAACATTATTCACCACCATCAGATGGGATTTATTCCCAGGATGCAAGGGTGGTCCAGTATTCACAAATCAATCAACATGATACATCACATCAATAAGAAAAAGGAAAAAAACCATATGATCCTTTCAATAGATGTAGAAAAAGCATCTCACAAATTACAACATCTATTCATGATAAAAACCCTTAACAAAGCAGAGGGAACATACCTCAACACATAAAAGCCATATATGACCAATCCACAACAAACATCATACTCAAA